TTTTACTTCGCCAGTAAGTAAATGTATAATTTCAAATGTATGTCGAACAATTCGTACAGCCATTAATTTTTTACCATTATTACGTCCATGAAACATAAGTGAACATACAAGACGTTCAACAATTGGACATGATACCTTACGAAAACGTTTAACTTGATAACGACCAGCTGAATGTGGAAGAAATTTTGGTTGTTTTGCACCAAGAATATAATCCTAAAAGCCAAAAAAAAAATTTGTTATAAGTTTTTTTTTTTTTTTTTCAAACAAACTTCAAGTGACATATCGGAAATTTGTACTTCAGCTCCACTCCATTTTCCAAATACACGTATATCAGTTCCACTATGTCCTAATGTTGTATCATCAGTTATCATTGTATCCGTCATAATGATTTTTTTTTGGGAGAGTTTTTAAACACACGGATCTAGAAAAAGAAAATAGATGTATATCTAGAAGATTATTTTAAATTAAATAAACTATTGTATTTTGTTTTATTTATTATTTGTATATGAATCGTTCTTTGTTATAGCCATGTTATATTGTATGTTTAAAAGTCCTCATATGTTTTTTTTGATTGATTATGATTGGTTAATGAAAACATCCAGAGAATATTAAGGATTTATGTTTTTTACCTTGGATGGATGTCAGAACAGGAAGAAAAAAAAAAAGAAAAAGAGAAATGATTAGAAAAATACGTTTTGTTCTTATTATTTATCTATCAATCAAACTAAAATGTATTCTTATCGGTCAGTCGGTCGAGCAATTAAATGTATTGAGTTTTTGTTTCGTTTTTTTTTGTGGTTCATCTATCTGTAAAATAAATGAATTCTTGAATTTTTGAAAAATTGATTTCTTTTTGATTTAATCAAATGAATAATATTAGAATATTGATGAGATTCATAGTTACTTTATACTTAGATTTAATGGTTATGAAAATCAATTCTAGAATATATTTTATTCATAGTAGTGACATATGAGCTGTGTTACTTAATCGAATTAATAATGTCACGAACCATTATCACCGATATATTTCTCTTGGGAGGAGGTAGAGGTGGAAGTGCGGGTATATGAGCGGTTGTTGTCATGAATAGATTCAATAGGCAACAACTTTTTTTTTTGTTATACGAGACACACGATAGATGTTTTGATTTGACTATGAGCTGAATCATAAAAAGAAAAATAATTTTTACCGCTTGATGTAATCTTTACATCTATCGTGAGTTGATCGGTCGACAAAATGTATGAAAGGAAAAAAGAGCAAAAATGGACGTTCTGATTTGATCTTTAATACAAAATGTTTCTTTTTTGCACACACACACACACGCGCATATATATATATGCAGAGTAGATGGAAGAAAAAAATTACTGTTCGTTTGTTAGACGTATATATACATATATATATATATATTCTAGATGTCTAATCAACAATACCAGCCTCGCGGAGCTAAAGGTAAATATTTCTATGAAAAAATAATTGTTATATAAAATTAAAAAAATTCTTTTAGAATATGTTGTTTTAATTCCATTACATAAAACATCTACAATTAATATAGTTTTAATTGAAAGACGAAAAGTTACTGATATAACCGATAAAAATATTCTTCATATTGGTAGTGGACGTAATGTAGATTTTATTATATATAAAAATTCTCAACCAGGTAAAAGAATTATTAATAAAAAAAGAAAAAAAAAATAGAAGATATGATAGAATAATTAATTGAATTTATTTTAGCTCAACAAGATAATGAACCAGTTCAATATGTTTCACAATTTAAAGTTTTTATGACTGATAAAAAAACACAAGAATTACATCAAGAAAATCGTACATTACGTTTATGGTTTTATAATCTTACAAAAAATCAATGTCTATCTGATGCAAATGAACTTATACGTTCATTATTTAAAACTGATGAATTTCCTCGTGGTAATAAAAAATATATTTTTCTATTAAAATATTAAAATAAAATTATTGTAGATTATTTTTCTTTTATTAAACGATTAATGGAATTATTACGAATGTTTGCAAGAATTCGTAAAATTGAACTTGAAATACAAACATTAGATAAAAATACTCTTGATATTGATCATCCAAGTATGTTTTTTACTCAAAAAACAAAAAAAATAGAATTTTTCTTTTTTATTTAATTATTAATTTTCAGTTAAACAATATGTATCACGTTTAATGCTTTATGATAATGATTATCTTTCAGAAAGTAGTATTTTTGAAATGAATGAGTGTAACTAACGTAGATAAAATAACATACAGGTTATATATTTAGTTTTGAAAAAGAGGGCATGGGACGAAAAACAAAGAAATTTTAAATAGTTTTGGTATTAGTTATTTTTATGTTAATCGTAGTTGAACTAAATCAAATAAGAATATAAACATCATAAGAGGTCTCTTGTTTTTTTTTCTTCTTCTATTTAGTGTACGAAAAGAGTCCTGAAAGATATGCTGATTTGATTAAGGAAAAATTATTGGATTTACTTGAACAAGCATTTCCAAATCCGATGTTTGTCAATGATTTGGCTAAGTAAATATATTTAATTTATCTTATTATCATAAGAAACAACAACTTTGTTTTTCTATCTAATAAAAGATATGTAGAATGTGATGGTCAAACAGTATTTCAATATCTTGTTGAATTAGAAGATAAAAATTTAGTTAAACATCTTGATCAAGATGGTCAACAATGGACACGTGTCATCATAGCAGCTGAAGAAGAAGATACTCATAGTTAGTTGAAATAAATTATTTATTATATATATATTTTTTTTAAATTTGTTCAGAAGTTATTCTTTATAAATCAATTTCCGAATTATCAAGTTCATTTCAACCAACAATTGCAATAATTACTGTAAATTATTTTGAAAAATTAGCTGTTGATGCTATGATTGAAAATAAAATAACATTTGTTCGACATAAAGCAGGTAAAAAAGTAAAACATTTTATAATGATTTAATACAAAAGAAAAAAAAAATAATTAATCAAGGTGAATCAAATGTTTATACAATTGGTACTATTGGTCCACATCATGTTGTATCAACAAAATTACCATTAATTGGTCGAAGTCGTACAGCACAAATTTCAACAGGAAGTACAACAACTCGATTATTAGGTACATTTCAACATGTACAACATGTTTTTATTATTGGTTGTGCTGGTGGTGTACCACATTATACGGATGCAACAAAACATGTACGACGTGGTGATATTGTTGTTGGATATCCTAATGAAGAAGATTATGTCTATGGTAAATTTTTTTTTGTGTTATTAAATTTATTTAATCAAAGAAATAAGAAGATACTAATGAAGCATAGATGTAGTATTCTCATATTTCCTATTAAGATAAAGGTTTATTATGTAATCACTTGTTAAAAAAAAAAGATACATAGATCAATAGTTGTTTTAACTTTTCTTTTTCTTTCTCAGTTCTTAGATAAATATTCAATATGTTGTTTGTTATTTACATAAGCATACTTATGATTGGATATATTTAACTATTATGTCTGCTCTGTTAAATAGCAATCATAAATAGAATAGATTATATAATTTGATATAAACCTATATTAAAAATGCATGAATTGACCGTATTGTAAAAAAAAAAAGTCTATTGAATGAGCTCACTCTCTTAATTATAGCTTAGAAAGTAAATTATAAAAGAAAATCAATAGGTTGAGGATGAATGTTCGTGTCCTACATGGATGCAATGTTTTACAACTAGATTCGAACTCGGATGGATGTATCCGCTACCCGATTGAAACTAATCGACATCTGACAGACACTTCCATAGGCATAGTAGGATTTTCAAATTTTTACTTCATATGAGTAGGCGATTATCTTTAATTCGTTTAACGAAAAGCAAGTGATTCAGCATTCAGCTTATGTTTTTCTACTTCTAAATTTTGCTTGTTGCTGATGATGTTGTGTTGTTGCCAAATATGATAATTATTAATATATACATGAAGACTTTTCCATTCGGATTATACATATTCATAATTCATTTTCCATGTTCATGTATTCAATTACTTCATCATGTAGTTCAATAAATTGCTCAATCATAATCGGGTATGAAAATCATACCCGAGATTTAAGCCGACAAATCTAGTATGCATTCAAATCGAATACTGAGTACTCGCTGGAATTTGCAAGATAGTAGTATGAGCATTATTTTCGTTCACATTCTACATTTTGGCCTATATTTAAACGGAATAGTATAATAAACAAAAATGTTTGATATTAATTTAGGTATTTATGAAGCTGAACAATCATCTGAAGGATATGAATTTGTTTCAACATGTTATAAACCAAAAAGTTTTCAACTTTATCAATTATTAGAACCAATTAAAGAAAATTATGAACAAACATATTTAAATCGTTCATCAACACATAAATATCCATGGGAAAAATTTCTTGAAGAAGGTATAAAATATTTACTTTCACATAATATTGATTGTTTACCACCAAGTAATGATCGTCTTTATATTAAAATGGAAAATGGTGAAATTGTTGAAGTTAAACATCCAGATCAAAGAAATAAAGATTATCATCGACCAATAATACGTTTTGGTATGATAGCTGGTGGAAAAAATATTTTAACGAATGATTATTTAAAAACAACTTTATGTGATAGATGTAATGTTTTATGTTTTGATTCGGAAATTGATCAAGTCATTGCAGCTATACAAGGAAATCGTACAGAATCATTTATGATTATACGTGGAATATCTGATTATCATGATGGAACTTTAAATAAAGAATGGCAACCATTTTCAGCATTATGTGCAGCCGCTTTTATGAAAACAATTATTTATAAAATACCAAAACCGTCCAAACAAAATCCAAATTCACATTCAAATAGCGAACACGATGATGATATACTTTAAAAATAATGCAAAAAAATAATATTCTTTATATATATATATATATATTCCTTTTTATATATTGTATTCTTTTTTTTTCCAAAGCTCTGAATAATAATATTAATATATTTCTAGATGACATGGATTTACATGGACATGACAGTAGACGACGTCCATCAATTAATTTGGACGCTGGCTACGTTTCGATTTCATCAATTAATATATATGAACCATCAACAACACTTGGTTTACATGGAAGAAAATTAATTTGTGTTATTTTTACAATTATTAGTCTTTTTTTAATTAGTTTTATTAATTTAATTGTAAGTTTTTTGTTTTTTTTGAGAAAAATATTTTCAAAACAAAAATTCTTTTGTTAATTATTAGTTTAGTATTATCGATTATTATTATAATCAATAAAAATAGAATCGATTCTTAGACATTAAAAAAATATTAAGGAACTTTTCAAATCTAGAAATCATAAATTCATTCGATACCATTTTCTTATCTCGATAAAACAATCTATTATAGATATAGCAGATGCAAGACATCCACCCGCATAGAGACCGAAAACAAGTCAAACTCGAGTCAGCAAAATTTGTCTATCTTTTCTAATATTCTGACTACACAAAGAAGTTCGGTAAACTCAGATCGTAAAGAAATTTTAAAGCAAATAGTTAAAATTAGCAGGAGTTGGCGTAGGATTTTGTATTGATAATGGAGGCAGCATTGAACTGCTAAATGACAAATATAATGTCATGATATGTTGATCTTCTACTACCTTCATGTCAAGATCGATCATAGTATGAGATATAAAGTGTTCATTTTTCATATATCATAAAATGCTCACAACGTGTGATCGAATATAGAATAGTTTCGGAGGTATAGTTAGTTTGCGAATAACTATCATTTTTTAAATTTTAAGGTTTTCTTTCATAAATTTATCAAAATTCAGCGAGAAATATGATTTATACTTCAACGTTGCACAAAATATTAATGTTTTATAACAATGACTTTTTTTTGGATTCTCGTCTCCGTAACGTTTTCATAGCTTCTATAATAATTTTATTTTTTTCATGTTTGAGAAAAAACTATTATTTCGAGACATTTGTTTTTGTCAATGTTGCACATTGCGCACTGTAAGATCTTCTTAAATTCATTGGAGGTAGATTTTTAATAAGATAAATCAATTATTATTTATCCGTTGCAATTGATCAATGTTAAGTTAAGAGAAGTATTTCTTTCATCAAATGAATAGGACAAACAATCATGGGAGTACATCAAAAATATTGACGATTAAAACGAGAGTATTCAAGAAGAGAGAACATAATAATAATGCTACATTCTGAGATAATCTGATTAATAGCCGTTTTGAAGATGATCATCACAATGAAAATAATAGTTCTGATGATTGAATTACAAATTAATGAATTTGTCTAGTTTTTATTATTTTTCTTTTATTAACTAAGTAATTCCAAACTCATTGAAAGAGTAAAACTTAGAAAATACATACATGAAACAAAACAAAGAAAAATAATTTTGGAGAATGCCAATTGTTTAATATCATTTCTACAGAACACTCTCAAATACTCTAAAATATCTTTTGATTATTAATACAAAGTATTGAAGGTTAAATTTCACACAATTCGAGAAAGTCATTGAAAATAAACATCCATAAGGAGATAATGTTTGTCTATTCTACTGTAATCCAATGTGAATTCTACTTCCTTTTCAATTTCTATATAATATGCAGGACCCAATTTTTATACGATATTTAAGATCGATCGACAAAACTACATTATCAGATTTCGATATCTTTTCTGTATTTACAAGTTATTCAAAAATTAAGAAAATCTAAAAAGAAAGCATCCTGAATTCTATATGCTGTTTAAAACTCGTCTCGATCCGACGAACTTTCATATGTGTACTCAAAAGATTAATACTATGATAAGTCTTATCTTAATGTCATTCTAGTTTTTTCTTCTATTTCTTATATAATTAAAAAATATTTTACTAACATTTTAGTGTCTTCTATGGCTTATGTATAAACTCGAATGGTCATTGTTTGATGGTAGTGGATCAAAAGTATTTCGATTTGATAAATATAATGAAGAAGTTGAATTCTATAAGCATGTATCATTTAATGAATCAATTTATACAACTAAAATAAATAATGTAACACATATAAATTTATTATCAGAAAAACAAGTAAGAAAAATTCTTTTTTTAATTATTTATCAAGATGTATTTGTTTGTATAGATTGATATACATGGTGAACAAAATTCAATTTTATTTGATGATGATCAAATATTATTAAATACTGATAAATTTTATTTGAAAAATTCTTCTTCTATTGATTTTACAAATCTACAATCATTTAATTTTGATAATGAAATTAAAACTCGTATTCATCTTAATCGAATAAGTTCTCAACATGTATAAATATTATTTTTTTTTTTTGAAAATTTTTATTTAGTAGTCGAATTTCTTTTTTTTTCTTTCTTAGATTCATAATAAACATTTAAATCTAACGGCAACAAATCAATTAGATATATTAAATATTACTCATGCTTTTTTCTATAGTCAAAATTTAGTATTAGAAGCAAATAGACATAATCGTCGATCAATACTTCGTTTTAGTAATTATTTAACACAAAAAAAATCTTTTCATCATTATCAAGTATTTTCAATGTTTTTTTTTTGTCATTTAATTTAATTTTTAATTATATTTTAATAGAAAATTTCACATGAAAATTTACATTTCAAAAGTGATTCAGTATTTTTTGATTTACCTCGATTACCATTAGTAAGCAATATTCATCGTAGTGAATCTGGCATTTATCGTATATGTATTTGTAATACAACTTTTTTATTTTTACGCAGTCTTGCTCATCAACCATGTCCTATTTGTTAATAAGTATTTTTTATCTATCTTAGGTGCTTTTACTTTTTTTTTTTTTGTTTGTTTTTTATATTTGTTATTTGATTTTATTTGTTTTTAATGCATGCAATATTATCTTAGTTGATATTTTAATATACCTGATTGAAATATATCAATCATGTTTGATAATATTTAAATTTAATTTACAATGATGACATAACTATCTTTTTTTAATTGTTCAGTATATTATTGAGATTTGATTGCATTTACAGTTGAGTTTTTTTTTTATACTCTTTTATTGTTTTATTTGAAATTAGAATTCTGTGAGATGGTGTCGATTTTTTTGTAATTCTCATCAAAATGTGTTGTGTACTTCAATTTTTTCAATTTTAACAAATATATTAATATTCATATAAATAATAGAAAAAAAAACGAATTAGGCTGATACTCGAGCAAAGCGCGAATAGAAAAGGCGACTGACAGCACAAACTCAAAAAATGTTAGAATACGCTTAACTCGACTGACAAGTGGATCGATAATGAATCTGAACTAATCATTCTCGTAAAAGGAGACTCCTAGCTGTTAATTATTGCTTTCAGCTTTTTTAACGCGATTTGAAGCACATCATGTCTGTCATTGCTCGCGTACACATTTGGGCTTCATATTTTGCGTGTTTTTTTTTGTAAAAAGATCTATATTTGATGTCATGATGTTCTAGAGAATAGCGAATGACTAGAAATCCGTTCGAACTATATCAAAGAGATCCATGTGTCGAGATGATACAAACCGTTTACGGCACGAAGCCATGTATAGTAATTGTTTTCGATTTTTTTTACTTCATAGACATTTGACTCCCGTGACTATTTTTTTGACACGATGATTTAAAGATCAAAGAATTGGACAATTTTCGTTCAAACGTTTTTATAAAGTTCCGTTTTCTTTCTAAGGGAGAGAGGAGGGAGGGGAGATAATGAAAACTAGTTTCAGCAGCACAAACGATTAGATCAAATATTGCTGCCATCATCTTTCGAAGTTTTCGTTATATCAATGATTGGTAATAGCAATTTAAAATGTATTCGTTCATGTCATATTATAAACAAAACTTCAAACGATATAACTACAGATGAATATAATTGATTTAATTCAAAATGAGTGTTTCAAATGTTATTCTCCTTGTGCTCACCGCAAGGTAGAAAATGTGAAGCATTTGTACTGCACCATTCTCTGAGGATATGTGACAGTTAATTCCTGGAACATTTTTGCTGTGTGAAGTCTGCTATCAATGTGAATCAGAAAACATGTTGATTTAAGTTCATTCATCAAATTTAATTGATTTATTAATATCAATAGGTTTTTATAATACTGGTAATGATGAATCATTATTCTTGAAACAAAGTTTTTGCAATAAATGATTCTTATATTCTTCAATTGAATATGAACAATCTAAGTTTTGCTGATATTCTCAAATATGTTATTCTTTAGGGTAACTTTTTCATACAAGTAAATATTCTTTTTCATCATTTCGACAATAATGATTAAGAATATATGAAACAATAAATTTTGCAGCTTCATCAGCACTAAACTTTTGTTGTTTTTCTATACTAGTATTATCCATTGTATATATATATGAAATTATACTCTTTTTTTTCTATTTATTGTTTGTTTTGTTAATACCAGGGGTCACTAATTGTTAAGAAATATGTTTCAATTGGTTTTAGAACTTGTTTTACTGCAGGTTCAAAATACACACCTAGCAATAATAATAAGCAGACAAACGTAACACAGAGATCACTCACTAATGAATATAGAAAAGAATAGAAAGAGAAAGGTATATGAGAAGATAATATATGTATATCATCTTGTGTGTTACCATGAATCACGACAATAATAGTAATGAGGAACTTTTTGACCAAAAAAACAGAAAATAAATGTGATAAAATTTATGAAAGGAGAATGATTCTCTGTTGATGTCATATTACGATCAGCATATTTGTGATCAGAAAAACAATCCATATCATTGGTTATATATTTTAGTATATTTACATTGAACATCAAATGCAGTTCAAGGTATAAATAGTGTATTAGAAGAAAAAGAACATTTTTTCTAAATCCATGGTGTTCATAATGTTGTAACATTTTTTATTTCGCGTATGTCTTGGTTTAGATAAATGATAAAACCTTGAAATATTTTTCGAGAGATACGCCGTGAAAAGCTCTACGAATGCTATTTGATTGACTTCTATTTTATCTGTTTTGATGGTTTTTCTTATACTCAAAGTGAACAACTTATTGGTGGCAGTGTCACTTTCCATTATATAGAAAATTTTTTGAGAACATTTCCAATGCGCTATAGGCTTTTGTCTATACAAGTTTTGTAGAGCTTTTGATAGCACATTTTTTTAAAAACAAATTCAATATTCCATTTGTGACGATTTTTGATAGAAGGGATATTAGTGCTGATGGTATTACGCTTTATTCTATTCCTTCATATCATATAATTGCATCGTTTACATACATAGCACACGCTTACATACGCAAGTAGAAGAAGAGAGGAGATAAGGTCAAGGAGAAAGCCGATATAGGAGATCAATAGGATAAGGACAGAAGCATAAGAATAGAAAGGTAAGGATAATGTATAATATATGAGTGAGTGGTACGGGAAGGTTAAGTATCATGTATGAAATTCAATCAACCGGGAGCGTTACACCATCATTTTCTCAAGACGAGATATATGCAGAACAAAAAAGTCTTCCAACATTTTTAGTATGATAGGAAGTGACACTGTCACCTGTAAGTTGTTCATTTTGAGTATAAGAAAAACCATCAAAACAGATAAAATAGAAGTCAATCACATAGCATTCGTAGAGCTTTTCACGGCGTATCTTTTGAAAAATATTTCAAGGTTTTATCATTTATCTAAGTCAAGACATATGCGAAATAAAAAATGTTACAACATTATGAACACCATGGATTTAGAAAAAATGTTCTTTTTCTTCCTTTGAACTGCATTTGATGTTCAATGTAAATATATTAAAAGATGCAGCGCATTCTGAGCTTTCGCCCTATACATTGTAAGTTAATAGATAAAAACGTATACTAATAAAAAACAAAAAAATCAAAGGTTATAATTGAAATTTTCGTGCATTCTGTATCCATGATGTTTCAAGACCGGTAAGTAGAGAAAACATCAGGAAAAACTTTTGCAAGAGACGAGATAGATGTTAGTATGCATTTCACTGTCCGTGTAGATATGATGAATGAAGAGAAGTACCGTACACTTACTACTATCATTTCTTTCTTCAAATGAGAATTTCATTATTTTCGTTTTATAAGCCTCGATTTGATTTATATCAACGACAATACGGTATTGTTTCCTTGGGATATATACTTTTCGAAATAATAAAACAATGCTATTGATAAATATAAAATATTAATAGTCCTCTGATATCACACAACATTAGTACTTCATTTTGAAATCAAATGAAAATTTCAATTGAAAATAAATATGTTCTAAGCAATGAACAATTTTATTTTTTACAATAACTACCTCATCAAGTTTTATTGATCTATATTACGCATAATGTCATTGAATGATTTTTATTCAAGATGATTTCTTTTTGCTGTTTAAAATCTGACAGATTCTTTATAATTTATTTAATGGTTTATTTTTAAAAATAATATTACCAACATAAATAGCATCATATTTAGTCAAATATCTTCCATCATATGATATTAATTTTCCATCACGAGTAAAAAGAGGACATGTTCGATTATATCCAGTACAGATCATTTTTAGTATATTGACAAATATTGATTTATCTATGGTTTTTTCTAATAAACTATTAACTTTGATCACATCTATACTTGGATATTGATATTGTTTAAGTCGATATTCAGTTGATTTATTAACATATAATTTTGGATTAACATTACCAAAATGTTTTCGTCCAATAACAAATATTTGTTGTTTTTTTGTTAAATTTAACAATTTTAATGTCATTGGTAATCGTTTAGCACTCCATTCAAACCATTTACCAGATAAAATAATAACATCAGCTTGACGAATAACTGGTAAAGCATATTTAATATCGTTACGATTTGTACATATTTGATGATCTATTGCATTAATAAATTGTTTTCGATCTTCTGGACCAATATACATTTGACATCGTCCATGAATAAAAAACACACGCATTTCATAGTTAGTCAAATGTTTTCCTTCAATAATTATATTATAAAAATCTTGCGCAAAACTATCACCAATTAATATCAATCTTTTGTTTGTTGTTGATGTTCGAATTGAAAATGTATTTTTATTTTGTCTTAAAACATTAAATGCTCGTTCAACATACCCCCATGACCGTATTTTGCTAAATCAGATAGATAAGAATCATCTGCTTTGTTCAATAATAATGTTTGATAAGTTGCAGTTTGAATAAGAAAGAATGCAAGAATGAATGTTATCACAGCAGTTATACACGAAACAGAAAATATTTGTTTTCGAGAAAAACGTTTTTTATTACGAAATGGTTGTTCAATAAAAACATAACTAAAACTACTAAGTGGAAAAACAATACAGACTATCATCAACATAGATAATATGTCAGGTGTAGTATTGGATCGTAGACGAATAAAAGCAAGTAAAGGTTGATGCCAAAGATAGGCACTATAAGAGATAAGACCTATCCAACGTAATGGACGTATAGAAAGTAATCGTCCAACCAGTGTATTATTCTGTCCAAATAAAATAATGGAAGTGACTATGTACACATATGTGTACATAGCTCGTCGGCTATGTACACACAAGTGTATATAGCTGACTGACTACATACACATGTGTCTACATAGCCGTTTGGCTATGTACACACAGGTAGATATAATCAACATATTAGTAAATATGAAGTCATATTATAATATTACATGTATTTGTTGATTAATATAAATTAATTATCTAAGTTTTTTCATAGTTTTATTAATTCTTTATTACATACGAATAGAGTATAAATCATATAGAAAAAAAATTAAGTCAAATAAAGATTAATAATTCAGCAGCATTTCTGGTGCTTTCTCTCTTTGGTTTTAAACGAAACAGTTGAATTTCATTATTTTAAATAGAATACTTGATAACCATCTAGTGTTAGCGCTTATCTTTCCTCTTCATTATATCGTATTTTTTTGTCGATCGCTTATATAAAGAAAAATTTTATATCTTCTTTTCTTAGTTGATTGATTTAAAAATAGGAAACTGAAAAATAGAAAAAGTCAAATAACTTGACATCTGAGAACATAACCTTTATTAAGATAGATTGATTAATCTTTACTTTAATCTTTTTCTCTATCGAGCTAATTAATAGTTTTTCAAATGAAATGAAATGAATTGATAATTGTTATAATAAAATGGACTGATTTCATATAGCCTCATTTATAGTACTAAATAAATCCTCTTATATTATTAAAAAGTCTATCATAATCATTCTCAATGTCTGTTACAGAAAGGTATATGTTGCTATTATAGTTAAATCTAAGTATATTGTTTCGTGCTTATCGTAATTCTTCAACCAGAAAAATAAAGCAAGATAATTATTCTCTCTTTAAAAAGCAGTTTGATAGCTGGGCACATTTTGAGAAAGAATTTAGAAATTGGTGCATTAATTGTTATCAACCAATGAATATAAAACGTTCTTCAATGAACTATAATGAAAAAATAACGAGAGAATTATTTAACTATGTTCAATACCAAAATGTAATGTATGTATGTCATCATAGATGTCCTGTTCGAAGACATATAAAAGATGAATCAAGACCAAACCAAGAATCGGCTCGATTATATTGTGAATTTATTCTCTTTCTCGTAGAGAAGAGTCTTGTGAGAATAAATTGTTTGTGGCTTGCTTGTATGTCCGCACTTCAGTGATTGGTCCGAAAGAAGATGAAGACAAAAAGGATTATTTTCCATAAAGCTTGACCAAAGGATAATCGAGGATTAGGAGTTCGGACCTGAGGTTAGTTTTAACTAATTATTAACTAATTATTGATTATTAATTAATTAATAATTAATATTTTTAATAAAACTTGACCAAAGGATAATCGAGGATGAGGAGTTCGAATCTAAGACTAGTTTTGACTGATTATTAATTAATTATTAACTATTCATTAATTATTAATGTTTTCTATAAAACTTAGCCAAAGTTTATCGAAGAAGGGGAATCTAAATCTGAGCTCAGTTTTAGCTAACTTATTACTAATTAATTATTAGCTAAATAATAATTGATTATGAATTATTATTATTTTTCGTAAAGCTTCACTGCGGGTTATTGAAGGTAAAGAATTCAAATCTGATATCAGCTTTAATTAATTAATAATTAGTTATTAACTAATTATTAATCATTATTATTTTAAATAAAAATTCACCATAGGTAATCAATGATGAAGAGTCTAAATCTGTGATCCGTTTCCATTAGTTAGCTATTCATTAATTAATTAATAGTTATTAGTTTATTGTATAAAGCTTCATCAAAAGTAATCAAGAACGAGTGATTTGATTACGGGCTCGATTGGAATGATTCAATGATTTAGAGAGCAGGGATATGAGTGAGCCAGAGATGAATAACATATGTATACTAAATGAATAATTTGCTGATAATAAGAAAATAGTTCTTCTACGAGAAAGAGCTAAGCGAGTCCCTAGACGAGCGTTACTTGTTTTAAAACGCTATACGGAATTAAATAAAATTGTTTTTATGAAAAATCAAAATTTAACTCATAACGATCCAAAAATGAGGAAGTTTATAAGAATTATTCAGTTTAAACAGATAAGGCATTAGAGATAGAGATGTTCCATCTTTAATGTTTTATGATCAGATATCTGGTACTTGTTCACTTTCGACATATGCTCTCACCCGCACGCTTTGATGTGTGAGCGTTAAATACGCGGATTAGTGTATGGAATATGTTTAAAGTGAACAAGCACCAGATATCTTTTACATGATCATTATGTTAAATGTACTGAAAATAATGAAATTTAATTGTTTCGTTTAAAACCAAAGAGAGAAAGCACTAGATATGCTGTTGAGTTCTTGATCTTTATTTGACTTATACTTTATTTGTATGTAATAAAGAATTACTAAAATTATGAAAAAGCTTAAAGATTTAATATATATAAATCAACAAAAACATATAATAGTATAATATGACTTCATATTTACTAATACATTGGTTATATCTACCTGTGTGTACATAGCCAAAGGGCTATATACACATATGTGTATATAGTCAGTCAGCTATATACACGTGTGTGTACATAGCCACTTGGCTATGTACACATATGTGTACATAGTCACTTCCTAAAATAATCAATGTTGCACCCAATGTAGGTATAAGAGTATAACAGTTTGGAAATGGCGGCACATTTTTATTATCAAAGAAGACAATTGATATTATAATTAGTACAAGTCCGATGAAGGCAAAGAATTCATTATATTTATTGGATGAAGCTACACTAAATTTCGAAAAATATTTAACATATTCAATTCTGAAAAAGATGTGAACACGTAGTTCACTATGTCTGTAGATCTATTACATTGTAGAATAAACAGTGAATTGTCTAATATGATTCTAAAAGATAATTCTAACATTTTTAGAAAGGACGTTTTCTTTTGATCAACTTAAGATCGAAAATGGTACGTTAGAACCCGAATTCCGTTTTCTTTTTAAATATGATCTGAAAAATTTTGTATTGAGTTTTATTTATAAAATAATTTTCTGAAAGATCCACAGAAAAAATTTGATTGTATTAATTTCTAATGTTCTATCAATTAAATTCATGAAGGTTTTCTCGAGAACAGTTTTCTCGAGAACAGTTTTCTCCTCAAAAAAAAATCGTTTGATCCATAAATATATTTTTCAAAAAATAATAATGATAAGGAAATAGAAATTTCTCTATATCTTATTGAAAAAAAAATCAAATTTTTCTCTATAAACTGGTAGAAATACCGAAATTTCGAATACCAGTACCACAAAAAAACAAAAATCTGTCATTTAACAATTTTTCTTTAGAACCTTTTCTTCTTGAGAAATTGGCGCATTATTTTCAAGAAAAACCGGATAGAAAATTTCGAAAATCATATACGAAGAAAGCATACAACCCTAGTTACAGTACAGTTTTTATCATTTATGCAAATGAAAGTTTTTTGAAAAAAATTCTCTAAAAACAGTCGACTTGTTAGTTATAGCTGAAATATATTCCCATGTAATTGTGTAAAACCTTGATGTAATTCAGTAAACTTCTGTTCACATTGTTTTCAACATTTTTATGATAACCCAATGTGCTAGATTTTTACAATAATCGTTTCCCTTCAGAAAAAAATTCGTTATCATGCGTTCTATCAAGAATTTCAATAAGGAGATCGTTTTTTCTATTTGGATTAATTAAATACAAAACTACATTCTAATGATTTTATAGACATATAATTAAACTAAATTAACTTATTGAAATAAATCCAGCTTTGTATTATGCCTGTTTCAATCAAATCTATCGACATTAAAAAGAACAAGAGTAATTACTATAAAAATTGTAAGATTCTCTTTTGCATCTGAATTGAATAAGATAAATAAACAATTATGTCGGATATACCTGACTGATCTATTAAGTCGTAAGTAGAATGCAGCAAAAGAACCGAGTAATAACTCCCATGCTCGTCCTATAGGTAAGTAAAATGATGCCCATGAATGTTGAGAAAACATATGAAATTGATGATTGGAAGTCGATTGAAAATTTCCACCCCATTGAGCAAGAAAAAAACTAATCAAAGCTAAAAATATCAGTAGAATGATAAGGCAACGATTTTTCTTTCCAGAAAAATAACATATTAATGGAAATATAAAATAAAATTGTTCTTCAACAGCTAAACTCCACGTATGAACACAAGGATTTAATTCAGTTAATTGTGTAAAATAGCCATCGTCTTTCCACCAAAAGAATATATTTGAAGAAAGAGCAACAATAGAAATTAAAGTTTGTCCAAATTCTTTCAATTGATCAGGTAACATCCAATAATAAGCAAAAATACTACTGACAAATAAAATGAAATAAAGTGCTGGAAGAATGCGACGACATCGTCGTTCATAAAAGTGAACAAGTGAAAATATTTCTTGTTCACGTTCATTTTCAATGACAGATGTAATTAGATAACCACTAATAACAAAGAATATATCAACACCAATATAACCTCCAGCGAAATACGAAGTGCAACCAGCATGATATAAAATGACTGGAATAACAGCAACTGCTCGTAGTCCATCAATCTCGTCTCGATAAAATGACATTACGATGTACGAAGAATATCAGAAATTCATGTCTTTATCAAATGTATATTTAGTTTAACCTATAAAAGAACAAACAATAATTGATGAATTTAATTGAAAGTACAATGAAAAAATAAAATAAAATTCCTTTTTTGTTTTTCCTTTCAAGGATACTTTTGAGGGTGTAATGTTGCTTATCAAAATTCATTTTTCTGTTGTTTTAAAAAATTTGTCTACTAGTAGTACATAATTTATGACGCTCAATAAAATGCTTTTGGTTCATACAGTTTTCCTTTCACTTTCCAGTCAGTAGAGCCCATTAGATCCGCATCGAGATAAATTTTTGTTCATTTTATTCACAAAAACTTAATTTATTCATAAAAAAAGTATGAGATTGTTTTTTGCTTCTAATATGCGGTAGACTTGTCATAGTTTTTTGTTTTTTATTAACACAACAAGTTTCTTCTCCTTTAGGAGAAATCCATATTGTTTTTATTTTTGTACATATGTGCTTCAGTACGAAGCACAAAACTATTAATAATAAAATATTTATTAAGTACAAGAATGAATCTAACAGCTTTGTAGTACATAGATTCATTCTTCTATCAGGAACGATTAGATAGGAATAAGAACTAATTGTAATTTAATTATTATGAGATCATTATCAAATCGTTTCAAGAGTACGTAAAGTATGCTTTGGCGTATCATTTCCCAGTCAATTAAGAATACATATAAATTATCGGTAATTTATATTTAAAATAAATATAAATCATGAAAACAACATATTTATATTTAATTTATGTATGAATTAAGTTTGAAAGTCAATATGAATTGAGACCCCTAAGTATGCTACTCATCTAACAGAAACAAATGAATAGGATCTTGTATCTTTGAGGTGACAATCAAAATTGAATTAGAAATTTTTTTTTTTTAGAGGTTTAAGAGTACGGATCAAGTTTGGATACGAATCCCGGTTCAGCAAAATCAAATTGCTTTGGTCTTGTTTCATAAATGTTTGGTTCCAATGAGCTTTACTAGTCAGACAAGACCCTTTTAAAACGAGTTAAAATTTTGTTTAAACCCCATTTTAAGGCTTAGTTATCGTAAAATGTTATTTTGATCATTAATTTTACGCTTTACAAAGTGTTATAGATGTTTGGACACATTCAAACGTGTAAGATTGTTCTAGATTTACCGTTTTTTTTTCTGTTTTTCAGCGCAATTTTCACCAGTTTTATTGCACTCAAAGGTTAATACGTGTATTAACCTTCAGAAGATCAACTAAGCAAACATCGCTACGAGAAATTTTCTTAACGGGTGTCATTATGTACCCAAAGCTACTCGTCATTTCTCGCGTATTCTACTGCAATCCAAAGCATTTAAATGAATTTGTCTCTTGAGATTAGTTGAAATGTAGAGTACCTAGTTGATGTATTTGACAGTCGAGTTTTCATGGAACCATTTAAGTTCTTGGTTTCTCATTTCGACATGAATAAGTAACAAAATTTATAGAATATTATCTGATTAAAAAGTGACAAAGAATAAATCTAGAATATTATATATTAGTGTTGAATATTTTTAAAAGAGAACAACACGCTTAATAATAATAGAACGAAAAAGAAACGACATGTGTGATAGCCTTCATGAACAATATCACTTACTTTGACTAAACAAGAACGAATGAAGCGTAAGTATCTGCGTATTGGCTCTATTACATCACTTTTCTCTCGATCAAGAACTGAATCCACCTAATCCGCATTAAACGATATTGTCGACCAATCGCATGTAGAGTTATTTTTATTTTCGATGAGTGACAGAGCTACACAGCACATTCAAAATAACATTTTCCATTTAAACAAACGGAAAAAAAAAAACTATAAATTCATTAACGATAGACTAAAGTTAAAAATCAAACTTTTGTAAGTGTTTTTGTCTGACCTCTATTGTTAATGTGTTTTAAGTTTTCATGAATCGTGATATCTTTAGAATAATATAGTGTATCGCATATCTTGCTTCTGGATAATTCTGATTCTTATCATATTGTCATCTTTCAAAAATTTGTTAAGTTCTCAAAAAAGTGATTTACATAATTCAATCGTCTATAAATACGTTGAAATGTATGTTTTATTTTTCTGCTCTGTTCTTGTTAAGTTTATTTTGTCAACGTTGTATTATTTCAATTAACTATGTTGTTTGTCTTCGTGATTCGCCTAATCAGTCATAGATTTGCTAAATGATAGTATTACTTTTCTCCTTCTCTCACATAAATTACCAAATTCTTGCTTCGTACCTTTTTCAATTCTATCTAGTGAATAATTTTACATATGTTTTGAACAAATTGTATTTTGCCTTCGTATAATCTATTAAGACTTGATATAGTTAATATGAGTGTGAGATATAAGTACATGTGGTTTTATTTCACTCGACAAGGTTATAAAACGATGCAACACTCCATTTTACGTTGCTCGATTGATTTGTCTTCGTTCTCTGGTTCTATACAAATCTGTTATTTTTTCATTTTGATATTTTCTTTTTCTTCATTTTTCTCAAGTTATTACTAATAAATATATTTGGCGCACCTAACGAATCTGAAAAAGAGAAAATGCATATGAAACGCAATATTTTTCATTGCAGATTTCGTAGAGAAGGTTGATGATACGCATTTCGTCACTTCGCTTTTGTATTTCACTATAATATGTTATGTCTCGTCGTCAATTAAAGTATGGTCGATCTCTGTCGCCAAAATCCGTTGGATTGTCCGAATAATGGTTAATGTGCTTTAAATATTTTGTTAAATACGACGTATAATCAATGTGATCCATGTCATAGAGGATCCTTATGTGAAAATGAAGTTTTTTCACAGACACAATTCAATACAACCTATGCATATTTAATCATATTTTTAATTCGGCTGTGTTTTTTAGTTTTGAATAACAGTCTCACAATGGAAGG